ACCACACTCATCACCACCATCCAATAAAATCCAACCATACCCACCACCTAAACACCAATCCACTCCACTCCCACCACCCTAACTCACTACCACCATCCTACACTCACTACCACCATCCATCTCACTCCACCATCCAACTCACACCACCACCCTACACTCACTACCACCACCCACACTCACTACCACCATCCTACCTCACTCCACCATCCTACTCTCACTCCCCCAAAACCATTTTACCTATACCCCATCCTGCACTCATACCCCATCCTACACTCCTACCACCATCCTACCCCCATCCACCATCCTACACTCAAAAACCACCATCCACACTCACTACCACCTCCTACACCACTACCACCATCCTACCCCCTCCTACACCATCCTACACCAACCACCCCTACACTCCCTACCACCACCTACTCCACTACCCCCAAACCCACCTCTTTTTCCCCCACCTACATCACAACCACCATCCTACACTCACTACCACCATCCGCCACCACACCCCCACCTACCCCCACTACCACCATCCTGCTCACTACCACCACCTACCTCACTACCACCACCTCCCTTCACTACCACCACCTACTTTACTACCACCATCCTAACTACCACCTCCACACCACAACACCTCCAAAACACTCACTACCACCACCCACCTCACAACCCCCTTCCTACTCTTACTCCCACCACTACACCAACCACCATCCACACTCACTACACCACCTACACTCACTACCACCATCCTACACTCAACCACCATCCTACACCACAACCACCATCCACTCCAACCCCCACCACCTCTTTCCCCCCATCCACATCACTCCACCATCGACACCACTACCACCATCCTACTCTCACTCCCCCCACCCTACTCTTACTCCCACCATCCTACCTCACTCCCACCACCTACACTCATACCCCCATCCTACACTCCACCACCACCTAACTCACCCCCACCATCGACACTCACTACCCCCATCCATTTCCCCACTCCCCCCATCCACTCTTACTAACCCCCCCCCATTACACTCACTCCCCACCCCCCCCCCCCCCCCCCCCACAAACCACCATCCAACATTTAAATTCCCAAACCACCCTACTCTCCCACCCCCATCCTCCCTCTTACTACCCCCCAATCCTACACCCCAAAACCTTCCACCCACCCTTTACACCCCACTCCCACCACCCCACACTCGGGTTTTAAAACTCTACAGTTCAGTTTTGTGATGGTTCATAAAATATTTTTAAAGATCCCCCCTTGTAGCGTGATATACAAAAAAACCTTAATAAAAAAACCCCCCTAAAAAAAAAAATTTTCCCAAAAAAAAAAAAAAATTTTTTAAAAAAAAAAAAAAAAACAAAAAAAAAAAAAATTTAAAAAAAAAAACCCAAAATTTTAAAAAAAAAAAAAAAAAAAAAAAAAAAAAAAAATTTAATCCCCCATGGAAAGCATAGGTGCCTGGGGGACTTAGGGAATCACCCCAGAGAGAAAATATGGGAAAATGTGACTTATTAAATCACCCGGGAAAGGACTTTACGTCCCCCCAGAGACTTTTGAAGCGCCATTGGAATTAAAAATGTCAGGGGCCATTATCTGAATATAACACTAACTGCTTTGAGCCTGTTTTTTTTTGGGGTGTTGCTACTCCTTAATGTGTGGGATGTGTGCAAATTTCCTTTCCCCCCATTTGTTTCTTTCCCATCCGTGCTTGTAGGGGTTTGATGTCAACTCCTGGGTGTGTCCCCTTGTTTCTCCCCCGGGTTTACTCCCTTTTAAACTAGCGGGTCCGTCGTACCTTTCTTGAAGGGTGTTGGCCCAAACCCCTGACCCCCCCCAAAATTTATCGTCTAGATTTTTTTCCAACTTCCTGATCACCCCACAACTTGTTTCCCGAGAGATTCTTTGTTAAGATTCCTAATCTGATTCTAGATTTGCCCCGATTATTATTCACTACCTACCTTCTGTTTTTATCTGCCCTTTCTATCTCCCTTCATCCCTGTCCCTCCCTACCTTTCTCTCTTCGTCTCTCTTCCTCCCTTCGTTCTCTTCCTATCTTCCTCCCTTCGTCTCTCTTCCTACCTTCCTCCCTTCGTCTCTCTTCCTATCTTCCTCCCTTCGTCTCTCTTCCTACCTTCCTCCCTTCGCCTCTCTTCCTCCCTATCTTCCTCCCTTCTCTCTTCCTCCTTACCTTCTTCCCTTCGTATCTGTTTCTTCCTACTTTCTCCGTTTCTGTCTTTCCCTACCTTCAGCCCTATCTTCCCTCCCTATTTTCCTCCATCCATCTCTATCCAAACTTTTTCTCGTCCCTCTTCCTCTTCCCTCCCTATCCACCTCTTCCCTCCTTACCTCCCACTCTCATCCTCTTTCCTCCCCACCTCCCACTCTCTTCCTATTCCCTCCCTCTTCCTCTTCTCTCCCTACGTTCCTCCTCCCTCCCTACCTTCCTCCCTCTTCCCACCCAAGAGGCTGTATATCATCTCAACAACTTGCCTTGATTTAAGGGACAATTTCAAGGCAGGAGTTCTTCCCAGGAGACGATAAGTGTGTTTGTGCCTGGCAGTGTTACTGCTGCTCTCCTGGCCAAGTTGCTTCACTGATTGCATACCAGAAGTCTGATTGCAGGGAAGGATTGCTTGTCCATCCGATAATCCAGATGCTGAACTGCCAAACCGGCCGTCTGGATGATTATTTTAATGACTGATTTGCTATTCAAGAGGAAAAACTGGATTGAAGACTGGATGGCTGGCGGATTATGTGAGCGAGACTCTCTGCCCAGCAGTTAATGCTGGAAGTGGGTGCAACTGGCTGGGAGACTGTACTGCTGACTGGCTGGGAGACTGTACGGCTGACTGGCTGGGAGACTGTACTGCTGACTGGCTGGGAGACTGTACGGCTGACTGGCTGGGAGACTGTACTGCTGACTGGCTGGGAGACTGTACGGCTGACTGGCTGGGAGACTACTGCAGACTGGCTGGGAGACTGTACGGCTGACTGGCTGGGAGACTGTACTGCTGACTGGCTGGGAGACTGTACTGCTGACTGGCTGGGAGACTGTACTGCTGACTGGCTGGGAGACTGTACGGCTGACTGGCTGGGATACTGTACTACTGACTGGCTGAGAGACTATACTGCTGACTGGCTGGGAGACTGTACAACTAACTGGCTGGGAGGCTGTACAACAGACTGGCTGGGAGTCTGTACAACGGACTGGCTGGGAGTATGTACAGCTAACTGTCTGGGAGGCTTTTCAACGGACTGGCTGGGAGGCTGTACAATGGACTGGCTGGGAGGCTGTAAAACTGACTGGCTGGGAGGCTGTACAAGACTGGCTGGGACACTGTACAGTTGA